ACACCCCCTCTGTCTGTCTATCCCCAGAACTTGGCCCCCCTTGCCCTGCTGGTTTTGGGGGTGCGTTGGGCCGGAAGGGGAGGGCTGGCATCGGAGTGGGGTGGGGAGGGGGCTGCCCCAGAGACAGCTGCTCACTGGTTTCCGCTCTTGTCTGGTTCCCTTTCAGAGACACCGCCACCCCCTTATTCCAAAATCTCCCCCTTCAGCTGCCCCTGGGCAGAGGTGTCGGAGCGCCCCAACTCCAGCCACCTGGAGTCTGGTTGCAATGCCCACGGAGACTGGCGAGGTACGGTGGGGACCGGGGCGCAAGGGATGCCCATAGGGACTGGGGGGCACCCAGGGGATGTGAACCCCCAGGCCCAGGCGGGGAGCGTCAGGGGACTCCGAATGACCAGCCCTGGGCTGGGTGGGGACCAGTGCTGCCAGGCTGCAGCCCTGGGTATTGGGGGGAACCTGCTGCCACCTTCCTTCCGCACGAGATTTTGGGGGCCCCACTGGGGAAGAAGGGCCCCTGGGTGGAGCCATCGAGAAGCCCCCCGCTCAGGAGCCAGCAGCACCAGGTGTGGGTCAGGTGCTCCCCCTCCCCCATGAGTCGGGGGTGCAGGGCACCCGCTGAGCCATCCTGGCCCTTGGAGCCTGGAGAGCTGCCGACATGGGGCCCCTGGGGCACGCTGGGCCCTCCCCTGCCGGCTCAGCCCTTTGCAGAGCAGGGGCCCGGCTGCGGGGCCCGGGGCTTCCCCTTCCGTAGGTCAGAAAGAGTTGGGGGGAGGGGCGGGGGGGAGGTCTGACCCCCCACCCCAGAGCTCCCAGAGCAGATCTGACCTTGCTGCTGCCTCCCATCTCCTCCGGGGCTTCAGGGGAAGGGGTTGGGGGGGTGATAACCAGCCCCCCTCCCCCGAGTCAGGCCCCCCCCACCTGAGCCCGGGAGGAAAAGCGGCCCGGAGCAGCCAGGGCCGGGGGGTTCCTGTCTGCGGGGAGCGGGCGGCTCTGGCGCGTCCCCCAGCCCCGGCTGTGCCTGTTATTTTTGGCCCGTCCGCGTTCCCCGCCGCAGGAAGTGCTGCCCACAGGGACACTCACAATGTGCCTTGACGCACAAGCCGCGCTCTGGCCTGGCTGCCGGCCACCGGCTCCTTCCCCATGCTCCACCCTCCCTCCCACGGCTCCAGGGCCTTGGGACCGGCGCCCTCTGCCAGGCCCGCCCCCCACTTGCCGCGCCACGTCGGGCGGTCCCCTGGGACGGTGGCTGGGGCCGTCCTGGGCCTACGTGCCGGCTCACAGCACCCCACCGTGACTCACGCCCCCGGGGATTGTCCGGCTCCGCAATGGAGTCGGACGCCCTGCTCCAGCCCAGCTGCCCCACAATACCCTGGGGGGCTGAGCCTGGGGAGCTGGGCGGTCCGTCTGCTTGGGGCCAGCGGGGTCAGGCAGCCAGAACCCCAGGAGGGCCAGCGGAGATGGGGCCTGAAACTGGCCCTTGCAGAGCCCAGGGCCCGTTGCCCACCCGCCCCCCACTGCTGGCCGGGCCGAATTTCAAGCTGGGGCATTCAGGCCCGCCTGCCCCCAGCCCCCGGACACTTGAAAGAGACGCAGGGGCCTGGGGCTAAACTGGTTCTGTGTGGCTGTATCCAGAGCCCTGCAGCTCACCCATGGCCAGTGCTGGGGGAGGGGTCCCTGTATAAACACCCCCGCGTCCCACCCCAGAGGGGCTGCATCCCAGCACCAGGCGAGGGGTCTCTGTATAACCGGCCCCCACACCCCACCCCAGAGGGGCTGCATCCCAGCGCCGGGGAGGGTCCCTGGGTGGTCTGTTCATTCTCTGGGGGCTCGGTGGGGGGTCTGGGGGCTGCTCTGTGCATGGGCTCAGAGGTTCCCTTCTCGCTCCTGCAGACCCCGGCCTGGCATGGAGCACCACCAGGGACGGCTGCTGGTGCAAGCTGGCCTATTGGGAACACCGGACACGGGTGGGCCGTCTCTACGCCGTGCACGAAACCTCCGTCAACATCTTCTGCGAGCTGCCGCAGGGGAGCGGCTTCTCCCTGGGCCAACTGCAGGCCGAGAGGCGCAGCGCGGCCGTGCGCCGGGCCCGGAGCAAGATCGGCCGCGGGCTGCTGCTGAGCCGGGAGCGGGACGGAGTGTGGGCCTACAACCGCAGCGAGCACCCCATCTTCGTCAGCTCTCCCACGCTGGGGCCCCCCGGCGCCCGCGGCCCGCCCGTGCACAAGGTGCTGCCCGGCTACTCCCTGCAGGTCTTTGACTACGAGCGCGCGGGTGGCCAGGCCGGCTGGCGGAGGCCAGGCGATGGGCCCTGCGACCCCAACAGCATCCGCATCAGCTTCGCCAAGGGCTGGGGCCCCTGCTACTCGCGGCAGTTCATCACCGCCTGCCCCTGCTGGCTAGAGATCCTGCTCACCAAGCCCCGCTGAGCCGGGGCCCAGCCCAGCTGCTCCCGCTGCGGCCATGGGCCCTGCCAGCCGACTGGAGTGGGGGCGCGTCCTCGGG